GAAAAACCTAGGGGAGGACAAAAATGGCACACTTGCAGAAACTGAAACTATTCAAGTAAAATTAAAACGAAAAATGTAATTCAAACACCAGGTCTTACATGAGTCAGTAATACCTCTCAAATGCCTTGTTGCTCTTCACTGGCTTTTAAGAAACAGTGAAATATTTCAAAGTGAGGGAATTTCTGTAAGAGAAAATTGGAATATATTTGAAGAGCAAAAAGACTGGTATGGTTATAATGAAGATTCCCTGCCAAACAGCTCCCAACCTAATGAGGCAGAAACAAAGGAGACAATTGATTATGATGATGATGAGTGGACAGAGGATGACAATTTTGAAAATAGACTCACAAGAAATACAGATACATTGTTACATCCTGTTGATGTGAAATCATCTCAAAAAATATTGTCATTTGCCCCTGGTGAAAGCCAAACACCCCTCGGTCTATACCAAGATCCTAATGCTGAATATCTGGCATTTCCTACCATTTATTGTGGGCAACCACGTCCTTCAAAAAAAGACAGAATGGTTCCAGTTACATACAGTTCTATTTGCAAATGGGAATTGAGGTCCCAAGACTGAAGAGCAGCATGTTCCATGCCTAATTTGTTTTTCAAACTTAAAAAGGTACAGATCAAGCAAATACAAGACAAAATTACCCTGGCAATGAGGAAATGTAAAAATGAAGTGGAAAAAAAAATAACAGCTGGACATGTATTAAATCCGAGCACATTTGACAATATTGTGAGACTAAACAAGGGGTACAGAGTTTTGAGAACTTTGAGGGAATCACCTGCATATTGGGAAGGTGCAAAAAAGATGTATTTGCCATGATCAGACAATTAGGCATTCCTACTTGGTTCTGCCCCTTCTCTGCTGCCGAGACAAAATGGAAGACTTTGCTTCGAATACTGAGCAAAAGCTTGAACAACACAGATCTGTCTGAAAAAGATGTTGATGAGTTGTTTTGGATTAAAAAGTGTGAACTCATGAAAAAAGATCCTGTAACTTGTTCCAGGTATTTTGTCCATCGGTTCAAAATGTTCATGTCTCATATTCTGAAAGGAAATACTCTACCTTTAGGGAAAATACTTGACTATTTCTATCGTGTTGAGTTTCAGCAGAGAGGATCTCCTCATATCCATCTTCTTCTTTGGATTGAAAATGCTCCAATTTATGGTCGTTCAACAAATGAACAGGTACAGACCTTTGTTGACAAACATTCAACTTGTTTCCAGAATGATGAAATTGCAGAACTTGTAAAGTATCAAACACATCGGCATGCACGAACATGCAAGAAAGGTGGTAAAAACATCTGTCGCTTCAATTTTCCATTACCTCCCATGCCGGAGACACTTGTTCTTGAACCTCTCAGTGTGGAGTGTTTTGAGAAAAATCCAAGTGCACAGCAGGATTTCAAAAAAATAAGTGAAATTATGAATGATGTGCAAATATTACAGTCCATCAAAACTTTTAATGACTTCTTACAGAAGTTAGAAATGACGAAGGAGAGATATATATTAGCAATAAGGTCATCATTAAATTCATCTAAGGTATATCTGAAACGAGAAATATCAGAAATAAGAATCAACTCGTACAATGAAATATTGCTCAGGTCTTGGGAAGCAAATATCGATGTTCAATTCATTCTAGATGGATATGCTTGTGCAGCGTATATTGTTTCATATATTTCAAATCTCAGAAAGGCATGTCAAATTTGCTGCATGATGCTTATGAAGAAGCCAGAAAAGGCAACTTCTCTTTGAAACAGCAAGTTAGACAAATAGAAAACAAATTCTTGACTCATGTCGAAATTTGCGCCCAGGAAGCTGCATATTTGCTATTGCAAATGCCTCTCCGCTTCAGCAGTAGAACTGTGATTTTCATCAACACAAGTGAACCACAAAATCGCACTTTCCTACTAAAGTCTCTTGAAGCCCTCCAAGAATTACCTGAAAATTCTACAGATATTGAAACAGACAACTGGATTAAATGTTACCAAAGAAGACCAAGAGTTCTGCAAAATTACTGTTTAGCTGATTTTGTATCAAAATTTGATGTTGTTAGACCTCCAAAAGAAAAACAACACAAGGACAATGATGTGTTACCAGAAGATGATTTTGAAGAGGTGAATGAAGATAATTCACAGGAAAATGATTGTTTGAATCTTGTGGACGAAAAGGAGTATCCCATGAATGATGGGTCAATATTGAAATTAAGAAAAACAAGTAAAATAATAAGTTATGTGCGCTACAATTAACAACAAGATCCAGAAAACTATTACAGAGAGCAGCTCATGCTTTTTTACCCCTGGAGAAAAGAGGAGGAAGATCTGAAGGGAAGTGATGATTCTTACGAGTCATGTTACCAGAAACACGCTGAAATAATTTTATCAATCAAGATGCCCTATGAAGTGGACAATGGTGTACCTCATGTTACTGAAGAAAATATGGATCATATCTCCTGTGGTATGGATTTCAATCCTGATATGGCTGGTGTCGAATATGACTTGGGGGTGGATTTGGGGATAACAAGAAAACAAGTGGAGAAGAATGACATCTTAGTGAATTCTATGGATAACGCTGAATACAATGCCTTTGTGAGAAAACTGAATAATAAACAGAAGATTTTCTTTTATCATGTTTTGCACAAAGTAAAATCTGACGATTTGCCAATCTATTGTTTTTAACAGGAGGTGCTGGTGTAGGAAAAAGCTTACTGACAACATGCCTTTTTCAAGCCATTTCACGTTTTCTTTCAAAGCAAATTGCAGATAACTGTGACGAGGTAAAAGCTGTTTTATGCGCACCTACTGGAACAGCTGCATACAACATAGGAGGACATACAATACACTCCCTTTTCTGCATTCCAGCAAATCAAAATTTGAAATACAAACCCCTAGATGCTCAGCAACTTGACAGGATGAGGGTTAAGTTTCGAAGTCTAAAAATTGTCTTTATTGATGAAGTTTTCATGGTTGGAAATAAGATGTTTAATTTTATAAATTTGAGACTTCAGGAAATTTTTGGAAAAGACAGTCCTTTTGGAGGAGTAAGCATCATAGCAATACGTGATTTATTCCAACTGAAGCCAGTGTTTGATGGTTGGGTGTTTGAAAACATTTCTGATGGGTATGGACCACTTGCACTTAATCTTTGGACTGATTTTTTTCAAATATTTGAATTGACAGAAATAATGAGGCAAAAAGATGACCAGGACTTTGCAGAGTTGCTGAATAGACTCCAAGAAGGTGTACATACTGCTTCAGATATTGACGTGTTGAAAAGCAGAATTTGCAGCAAGACAGACATTCAAGATATGAATCTTATTCCACATTTGTATGCAACAAATGTGACAGTAAATAGTCACAATGATGAAGCTTTTGCAAATGCTTTACCTGAAAGTAAATGTATTGTATTGGCATTAGACACAGTGAATGGCGATATTACAAGTGAAATCAAAGTGAAGATCCTCAACCAAGTGCCTGATGATCCATCAAAAACAATGGGATTATTCAGAGAGTTACATTTAGCAATTGGGCACCCTGCAGAAATTTGCATAAATGTTGACGTGGAAGGTGGCCTAACAAATGGAAGCCCCTGCATTGTTAAGAAATTTGACTTCGGAATTGCAAGTTCTAACAGATGTAGCATAGTATGGGTTTTGTTTGATGACTCAAGAACAGGATATGCTGCAAGATTAAAGTACAGGCATTTGTACAATGAACACATTCTAAGTTCTTGGACACCTGTTCTTGAAGTGTCCAAGAAATTCACTGTTGGAAGACATAAATCTTGTCATGTAACTAGAAGACAATTTCCATTACGTCTGGCATGTGCAAAAACAGTCCACGAAGCTCAGGGATCCACTCTTAAACATGTTGTGTTAGATTTAGGATCTAGAAAGCAAGAGCATATGCATTATGTTGGATTAAGTCGAGTAAGAAAGTTACAAGACTTGTTTATCCTGAATCTGAATGAAAATAAAATTGCTGTGTCAGAACAAGTTATTGAGGAAATGAATCGCTTGCGTCTTGAAGCTCCATTATGGGCATGTTTACCAATACTTGAGAGTTTAACGTCTGTTGTGAAAGTAATATATCACAACAGCAGATCTCTGCATTTGCATCATAGAGATTTATTGACAGAGCACAATATGCTCTCTGCTGACATCATTGCAATATCTGAGAGTAGACTCGAATCAAGTGACAAGAATGAAGACTACAAGTTGCCAAGTTTCTCTATTCATCGCTTTGATTCAAACACACAAAATGACAAAGAAAGATCCTATTATGGAATAGTTATTTATTCTAGAAAACAATTAAAAGATGTCAAAAACCTTTGTTTATGTGGCATTGAAGTGGTAATGTGCTCTATCCAGATAAAAGATGAGATTGTCCGGTTAGTGTTCTTTTACTGTCCACCAAGGTTTGCAACAATCAAAAACTTCCAGCTCTTCATGACCTCCCTCCTATCTTTGGGTTTGTTGGATATTATGAAACCTGTTGTTGTGATGAGGGACACAAATATTGACTACTTTTCCCAAAAAGAACTAGAACCGTTGGTAAAGGGTATGGATGTTTCACTACATCAAATAATGCATAGTTGTACAACAGATTATGGTAGTTGTTTGGATTACATATATACAAATAGACCTGTCAAAACTTCTGATAATTTCAGAGGTATTTCATGTACTACTTTAGAATCATTTTACTCTGACCACAAACCCATTGTTGCATATATACCAGTGTAAGGTTCTTTGTTGTGAATTTTAACTACTTGCAGAACATTTCTGAGGCATATATTAACATTACAGTGGGACAAAATGTTAGTATTCTTAAAACAATAATGACCACTTTCTTGATGTAAACTAAGAATAGAAAAAAAATGGACAGTCAGTCTGATTTATTTACCAGGGTAAAACAATTATATTGAGTGTTTTTATATTTTACTTTTAAGCATATTCTGCAAAATTTTCTCAAGCTTACAATATTGTCTTTCAGATGCAACACAAGACTCTAAGAGAATTGCAGGGCTCCAAACCTGGATACACTGCACCCTACCCTACAACCATGGTAAAGGTCAATGTTGTGAAAGTAGGGCATACAACCACTTTCACTAACAGCAGTGGAGAGAAAGGACAGATTATAAATTTCAGTGTAGCTGATACCACTGAGGCCATGGTGGCAACTTTAAGTGATGAATCCAAATTCAACCAGATCAGAGAAGGGCGATCTTTAACCATCAGAAATTTTCTAGTTAAAGGAAGTCGACTTGTCCTCTCCAAGCAGTCTAAAATTATGGCAGGTCAGGCTGTGCCAGTTCCACCCACCCTAGCTGCAAAGGGCATCACACATATCATGCCGCCATCCCCAACAAAGAGTTTGAAAGAAGTGCTGCAGGCCCTAATCAAATCGCTACTGACAGTTCAGGGAGAAGTTATTAAGGTAAGCCTATAAAATATATGATCTATTAAATATACATTTACTCTCTTTCATTTTATCTCACTTTTTCTTAAAACTAATTTTTGGGCCACTATAATATTTTTGTATAGTTTATTCAGCAGGTATATTTCTTTAAACATAATGAGGCACTAAAAACCGTGCAGGTCAGTCAAGTTGAGACCAAAGTCAGAACTCTGACTATTCAAGATAACGAAACGCAAGTGGAACTGACTCTCTGGAGGGAATTAGCCAACCAAACCATAACAATCGGGAATTACATAGAAGTGATCCATTGCATAGTTGTTGAATGGCAGCGAAGAAAAACTCTAAATTCCACCAGAAACACAGCAATTAAGGTATCTACTTTGCAAAGACCTAAACTTTTCTGGTTTTAGAATTCTCATTCTTTTTCAGCCAAATGTACAAAAAATTCAATTTATGCTTAATAAATTGAAAATTTCAGCCTCACAGTATACACAAATTTCTGGAAATTAATAAAATTGCATCAGTATGAAAGGCATTGTATGATATGCTTCAGGTCTGATTTTCATCTCTTTCTTAGTGACATTCAATCAAAATTTTTTTTTTTTAAAACAAACTGTGTTGATTCACAGGGCCCATAAAAGTGGGTGTCTTAAATATATCTTAAGTTTCCTTGGTAAATAATATGGAAATTGGTAGTTGTTGACGATGATGCTAAAATTTCACTTTTGTCCATATAGAAGATACAGCCTCGTGAGAGACAGGTGATTGGGGAAGTTGAAGCCATTTCCTTTGGGGACACCACATGTGAAGTCTGCCTTCTTGAAGATGCTGTGTATAGGGATTATGTTGTAGACATAAGCATGATTAGGGCCCAGCTACAAAGATTTGGAGATGTGTCGCAGTACACAAATCAACAGATGGAAGACGTTATTGTGCAGAATTTGCCATTCCCAGTGAAACTTACGGCCATCGGAATGACTGTCCAGAGCATTGAACTTTAAGGTTTCTTATTGGACATAAAATACTGATGAAAGACAAACTTGCATAATGTACAAATAATCCAGTCATGAAGTTTCTGATGTTTCATAAGATATAGTGTTGTATCTCCATCATTTTAAAAAAAGTTCAATCCCACATACAATATCAGTAAAACACTGTATTTATCTTATTTAAATTGCAAGTAATGTATATTAAATGCACTTAATTTTTATATATACCTGCTGGTGATATTGTATTTTCTCACTGATGTGACATCTGATCAGACAAAAGTTTTTCATTCACATTTATTATAAACGAATTCTACATATAGATATCTATTAATATGTACATAGTGCTTTGTTTTCCTGATCACCAATTACCATTTAAACTTGAGTTTTAAGGCTATGATTTGTTATTTCATTTGTACACAGGAAACCAAAATGTGCCAATATACATATCTTTTACATTTTATGCAATCTCATGTGCTGTTAATATGCATCAACTGAACTTCCAAAGTATGTTATTCCATTTGATTTCTTTCACCATCCCTTAAATACATATTACTTTTGACTTAACAGACATGTTTGTATGTGTTCAATGTCTTACTGGTGCTATTTCTTCATATTGAGAAAAAGTTAATATACCTGGACTACACTACTCTATAGTATGTTGTTGTGTTTTGTGTCTCTGTAAATATTATACTTTTATTTATTATGGCCCATATTTATTTCTAATGAATACAAACTTTTTTGTGTCATTTTTACTGTACTCAGAAAGTTCAGTGCCCTGACTGTACTCTGTCATAGTGTGTAGTTATCCTGTAGGAATGTTTTCGATGTAAATATTTTTTCCCCAGATATGGCAAAGATGTGATTTATGTGATCAAGCTTTTTATTTGTGTGATTGCTTAATGTGTATGGACTAAACTTTATCATATGTAATTATGCTGTTTAATTTGTTTTTCTGTCATTTTTTAGTATTATACTTTTGATATGCAATATGACTCTTATGTTTTCACATTTTAATGTGTACATTTTTCCCTTTTCTCAAACAGTAATGTGCAAGGATTGCATAATACCATAGAATGTAACTATCCTGTTTGATATGATTCTCTGGCTATCTGTTCCTTAATAATTGTACCTTTTATTCAACAAGTATGAGGTTTATGCCTACAAACTATTACTTGTGCAATTTTGACATATTTCTAAACAGTTTATGTCTGTACCTTTGTGCCAAATTCTCCAATCACTCTATTTGATTTGTTGACTATTATGTCCCTAGAAATATTACACCAGGGTACTTCTCTTAACAAAACATGCTATGGTTGAAACATTTATTATCATATTATAAGAAATTATTGTCACATTGCTTTCTTTCAATGACTAGAAATCGTGCCTTCATTTACCACATGTTAACAAGAAAACCCATTCACATCATTGATTAGTCTTTTCACATGTAGAGAAATTCTTTGTTCCTCTGTAGCATATCATAGCATTTTTTTCAACATATATTTTTATCTACATTCCATACATTGTGTTCACTATAAAAAAGTACTTCTTTTCAAATGTTGTAAATATGTCTACAGTTTTGTCTTGTTTGAATAGGAAATTCCTGTCGCTTGGTTTATTACTAGGTACAAATGTTTTACATGTGTAGTATTATTGTGAATGAACTACCTGAGTGGTATACAAAGCTGACAGTTTTTTCTTCTCATTCTCTGAACATTTCGTGTGCCAGCAAAAGTATTTGTCTTCTTTGTTGTGTTTTCATTCTTAAATACAAGATATGCCAAATTCTTTTTCAATAATACATGTATATACTTGTGATTACCTTGTTCCTTTCCTCAAACATTTTTAAAGACATTTTTGTGCCATTTTAACTTGTTCTTTATTCACCCTTCTTTCAATAAAAATATTTCCATTATTTTTCCGTCTTGTTTCTCTATTCACACTAATTGAAGCATAAGAGAAAAAAGTGAGAGTACTCTTCATCTTTACAATAATTTAGGCCAACTTGAAATAGTGTTTGTTTGCCCTCTCCTGTCCAGAATGGAAAAATTGGGTCAGTAGGTAGTTGGGAAAATTATTTTCTCACAAATTTCAACAGCAATGCTTATTTCTCAAAATCTGTTTTCCGGATTACATAAAATATAATACATGTACTTGTTTCCTGGATGTTATGAAAAATTTTGAGTCAGGCCATTTTTAGTCCGTCAGTCAAGGGAGGGCAACCAAACAAAGTTTTAAGATGGCCTAATCTAATTTTCAAAAATATGAAGGTGTACTTGAATGTGAAAATGGCGATTTAAAAGCTGAAATTAGTTTCCCTTCCATCCGACAGTATATGTAATGGAACTTCTTGAACATGCTGATATTGCATATATCATATTCAATCTGTAACGTTCCCCTGCATTCTAACTACCTAAATACTGTATTCTAATCCCCCTCCCCTCTTATCTGCTCCAACATTTAGTTGCTAACCAGCATTTCACGTACTTTTAACTGAAATAAAAACATGTCTTACTTGCTACAGTATATGATTGAACAAGACATGTGTACAGCACTTCACTTATAACCATGATATGACATTGCTTGTATAAGATCTCACTATATCTCAAAAAAAAGTCTTCCAGTTTTGGCACTTTAGGAAGGTATTTTGTACTTTGTACACCTAATTTCTTGAACAAATTTACACGCAATTGAATTTCAATTTCTACAAAAGCATTATTCAAATAATTGGCAGCTACCTGTTTGTGTCATGATTTTCCCAAACTGTTATCCATTATTGCAACTACCATTACAAAATATACAAGTACTAAACAATACTACACAAACTTCCAGCAAAATCATGCTTTGTTATATTTCCAAACCCGTCTTACCTTCACACCTTACTCTGGCAAAATACCTTTCACATAACAAATTTCAAAACAATTTCACAACTTCCATTCATTAATGTTTATCCTGGTTTCTACATTGTATATTCATATGCTTACACACCACCCATGCCACCGTCTATCAGTACTCTCAGTACTTTGATCTTCCGAGTGACCGAATCAGAATAGCCTAGAAGATTACCGGTAAACAGATTACATTGGATGCAACTACCAAGACGTTTGGCATCTATAAGACAAATGCCCTGCATTGTATAAAGCAATAACTTACTACCAAGGCAGTGACAACTCTTTTAGTTTATGGTTTTAATAAATTTCCGTATCGCCTGAATGCTGTGACCTAGTCAACACATGAAAAAAAGGTTCAAAGGAAAGGCTACTTGCTATCTCTTTCTATTATTAGTTACTTCGCTGTAACAAGAGGGCAACCAAGATTATCAAGCATGCTTATACTATAGTAGTGTAAATTCATAAATGGGGGACTACAGCTTTGACAAAAAAATAGGAAGAAGAAGAAAAAAAAACTGTTACAAAAAAGACAGGGGTTATTGGGTGGGGGTGGGGGTGGGGGGGGGGTCGTGATTCCCGCCCTCACTCATTAAATTCTTAGGACAGTTCGACCTTTAAACAAGAAAGTAGTAAAGTGAATAAAGAACAATGCCAATTATATTAGTCCTTGTATATATAGCATAAAAGATAAATTCAATTGCAGTTTTCATTTTTTTTTCAATCTGTATGATAAAAATTTAATTTAAAAACGATTGATTTCTGTGACTCGGTCATTGCATAAATTCATCATACATGTATCCCAGGCCCGTAGGTACTCCTACAGGTAAGAGCCTCGGTTAACGTCCCTACGCTCCTTTAAACCACAGTCAAAAGTATCTCGCCTTGAACCTCTAACATGCTGGGGTAGCCCGTAGGTAGCAATTTCAGTAGGGCGTGGGGGGAGGGGGGGGGGCAGCCATCATACATTTTCAGTTGGGGGCACTATCAATTACCAAAAATTCCTTGATTCTAAAAACCATCTTCGCATAAAAAAACCACCATCAAATGAAAAACCACCTTCATATGAAATAACCACAGCATTACATAAAAAAATCACCACCTTCACATGAAATAACCACAGCATAACATAATAAAGCACCATGCTCTCATGAAAAGACCACAGCATAACATAATAAAGCACCATCTTCTCATGAGATAACCACAGCATAACATAATAAAGCACCATCTTCACATGAATAATCACAGCATAACATAATAAAGCACCACCTTCACATGAAATAACCACAGCATAACATAATTAAGCACCATCTTCACATGAAATAACCACAGTATTAGATAATAAAGCACCATCTTCACATGAAATAACCACAGCATAACATAATTAAGCACCATCTTCACATGAAATAACCACAGTATTAGATAATAAAGCACCATCTTCACATGAAATAACCACAGCATAACATAATTAAGCACCATCTTCTCATGGTATAACTTCATAAGGCAGCTATGGCGTTCCATACAAAATCAATCATCATTTGGTTCACAAAACAACATGTGTCACTTTCCCAAGACAATCCATACAGGGATCTGTTGCATTAATTCAATGAGCATTTCTCGCAAGATTTTATTAAAAAACACATTTTATTACAATTCTTAGAATTTATTACCAAATGCAACATAAGTACAAGTCAGAGAATTGATGAGTATACCCATATTTAATGTACATTTTTGGATTTCTTTCTTTAATATTCTTATTCAGGCGTCTTATCAGGTGCTTTATCTTTTTTCACCAGACAGCTGTATTTTTTTTTTTTAAATTCACTACAGTACATATACTATGTATCCCTTCAACTATTGTTAGAGATTTTAGAGAGCTAATTAATTATAAACTCATCATGGAATTCAGGGGGGGGGGTTAAAAATTAAATAAAAAAATGATTTAGCATCTATTTACTCGAAAAGAAAGGTTATCTGATATAAAATACAAATTAGTATAGTATAAAACCTAACAAATAAATATAATTAGTGTTTACGTGAAAGTAATAATTTGTAAAGTAAGCAATACTTAGAAAAAATAGTAATGTTTTGCGCTATCAACCATTAGGCACGTCTATCTATCTATCTATCTATCTATCTATCTATCTATGGATCGATCGATCGATCGATAGATAGATATATAGATACATGCTTTATAAAAATAATGTAAATTTGGTAATGCAGACTTTTCCAATCTTTTGTTATGATTCAGTTACTGTTCATATACCAACGGAGAAAATAGAAAAGACAACCAGCCACAGCGCTTAGGGCATTCCCAATTCCGTGAAGTCGAGGATTTCTAGGCAATTCGGGTTGTTCTGGGGGTACTCCCTCTATTTTGATGGTTACCTTGATATTGATTATCGTAATTCTCGGATTGCAGATGAATATTTCAGCCTCCTTTTGTCCGCGGGGTTGTTTTTTGAGCACATTGATTCTGTATCGAAAATCTTCTGTGGGTTCATATGTCATCGATTCCAGCACAAAACCAGGGAGATAAGATGTCACCTTTACGAAGGTTTCATCAGTAGGTGAGGTAAGGTTCTGAGCATGGATCCAGTAAGTCTGTAATCATTATGATGTTTTTAAAGAGAGCACAAAAAATTATTCCTATTGATCTCTTCTTCATAAGTATTAACCGTGGAAATAGAAAAATAATATATATTTATCCTTAAACGTCCATGATTGATTCTTCAGATGAAAGGGGCTAATTTTTCATCTTTGCTTTGAAATAAAAAAGCTGCAGTCATTCCAGCGTTGATATAGAAAACTTAAGATTTCATACGAAAAATGTCACCATTAACTGTGTTTTAAGTAAGTTTAAACAATTTGATAGTGACATCCCAAGTATAACACATTGATTAAAATATCTCTTTTGTTGCAAATCCAACATACTTTTGTAATACTTGAATAATAGCTTTTTTTCTGATTTCCTAATAAAAACAAAATCTATGAAATAAAGGATGAAATATAAGGAGATAACGCACAGTATTCAAGCTCAAAAGTCCATTAAACCACACAAAATAGGAACAGACCTCCAAACATCAGAGGTGGGATCAGGTGCCATGGAGGAGTGAGCATCCCCTGTCGACCGGTCACACCCGCCGTATGCTCCTTGCCATGATTGGGAAATAACGGGAAAATCCGTCGACAATTCAGTGTGTGAATAATGGCCTAATAATTAGTAGGAAAAACGTCAGTCAGCATTTGACTCAATGATAAATTGTATTTGCTGACCAGGTCATTGTATCGACCATAGAACTAACGAAATGATAACTTTAAACGAGACAGCTGATATTCTTGTTTCATAAACTTGTTTGTCAATAATTTACCTCGTTTTAGAAATTGTACATACGTAGAGCATGCTCTTGCGTATCGAATCAATTGAGAGATATATACCTCGTATGCAGGTGATGAAGGTATATTGCAACATAAGTAAGGGAAATTGACGATTGAAACGTTTATCATAAAGCTTGATGTTAGATTACTATAAACGTCTTTTTGAAGTAAAATATCCAAATATGAAACAGATGTGTCAGACTCTGTGTATCTCTTATCTCAAGCTCGCCGGGGTATATCGTATCGACATAAGAATGGAAATAGCCATTGTTAATTGATAATACGTTGTCGATATATCTAAATGTCGAGTTGAAGGCCACAGCAAGTGTTTCTTCTGGATATGACAAAAGATGGTGTAAAAAAAATAATTCTTAATCAATGGTGTGCAAGATTTTAAAAAATGCAATTATTTATATTGTATCTTTTCTTAATTTCTTATTTTTTCATATACGCAGGTATGTTAATAGCCATTCTCTGTAACCACTTAAACGTTTGTGGCACGCACAGTCAGATTTTTTTTCAAATTTGACTAGAATTTACCATCTCATAAACTAGTCCAAAAAATATTGTTAGATCATATGAATGTTGAGTAGTTACCATGGAAACGGTGTCAAAAACTGATTTCTTCTGAAAATATGTAGTTTTTGGGAATGTTATTCATTGAAATGCAGCTACTTCAATTCATGTTACTTACAGAAATAAAAAGTATGACATCTGATTTAAAAAGGCATTTAAAAACATTGTTGGTATTCAGTCTATAAATATGAGAGATCTATGATTAAAATAGCAGACATTCATTTAAAAATTGAATTATCTCTCTTTGATAATTTTGAACTCTTTAGTGTGAGAGATAAAAAATCATTGGAGAATGTTTACATTGTCAACATATATCCTGGCTTTCAAGTAAAATCAAGTGTTTTTTCTGTTTATTTAATGTGCATACAAGTTTTAACCTCTTTGTTTATTTCCTTGATGCAAAAGAGTAATGTTGATGTGTGAACAATGGCGAAATGTACAAGACCACATGGTACACGAAATCAGCTTTGTACACATTCATGATATTTAAGCCTAAGCTTCAAGGTCTTAGGAGTTTCAAAATGGGGATAAAAAGGTAAACTTAAGATATTAGAATTATATTGAATTGGTTGTAAGAAGAGGTACAGTGCTTCAGTCAGAGTGATATACAGCCTGGAAAGCCAGTGTTTCTTCTTAAAAACGAATGTGAAAAAAAAACTGAATTATAATGTGAGAGAAGTAGGCTTTTCATTTTACCTAAATAATTATATTCAAGACATATTTACATTATCATACAAGACTGGAAGTTGAAAGTTAGAAAAACAATAGACTTGGCAACAACAAAGTACCGGTGTATCAAGTTTATATTGAATGAAGTGATGTAAATTGTTGCCTGTAATTAAAGGGAGGACCATTTAATTTGTGTGTGTGTGTGGGGGGGGGGTGTTGACAGATTTTAGAAACTAATAATCTGTTCTTGAAAATGTTGAAAATAAATAATCTGTTCTGGACTGACAGGAAAATAAATAATCTATCCTTGATAAGTGGTACAACCCCCACACCCAGGCACTTGTTTCGGTAATTTTTTTTTACCCATAGTAACCCATAGTATAATAATTATTATACTATGGGTTAAAAAAATATTACCAAAAGACGTGCCTGCCCCCCCTCCCCCCCCCCCCCCGAATTAGAGTTTCGGCGTATTCTTTTTTTTTTTTTTTTTGGCTCTTCAGACTTTTTTTAAGGTGAAACAGAAAACAAATAGTCTGTCCTGGATCATCTTGGAAATATATAAGCAGGTCTTCACTACCACGAAAATAAATATCTGACTAGGAAAAATACGCTCTTTACATCCCATCCTAAAATCAGAGAACGAAAAAGTATATAATATCTCAATTTAAGGCTACATGTAGAAAAAAAATTCACACCTAAAAACCAGTTTTTAGTGAAGGATGTACAGAAAACTCGATCTTTTTACTTCCTCCTACTGTTTGCTACGAAAGCCTATTAGGATCAAACTACGGTTTAAAAAAATTAAAATGCGTTATAACGCCTTTTGAAAAGGCGTTATAACGCGACAAAAGGCGTAATAACGCCTTTTGAAAAGGCGTTATAACGCGGAAAAAGGAGTAATAACGCAAATAAAGGCGTTATTACGCCTTTCCAAAAGTCGTTATTACGCCTTTCCAAAAAGGCGTTATTACGCCTTTTCAAAAGGCGTTATTACGCCTTTTCAAAAGGCGTTGTTACGCCTTTCCAAAAGGCGTTATTACGCCTTTCTAAAAGGCGTTATTACGCCTTTCTAAAAGGCATTAATACGCCTTTCAAAACGGCGTTGTTATGTCTTTTGAAGGGCCATAATTATGTCTTTGACAGGCTCGTGCTTTTAAAGTTGGTGTGTGTGTGTGGGGGGGGGGGGTTCCCATACAATTGACAAGCAAACAAAAAAAACCCAAGAAACACCCCCCCCCCCGCGAAAAAAATAAACTGCCTAAACTTGAGGGGAAACTTTTTCTAATTTTTCGGTAAAACTTTTTTTAAATGCAATGACTTGCCCGAGTTTAACCATACTGCAACAGAATGTTAAGGGACCAAGCAATCAATAAATGATTTTTTACATTTAAACTATAGCAAGACTATTCTCCCAAAAAGTGGGGTGGGGGAGCCCCCCCCCCCCCTCCACTCGCATTCGTACTACCGGCCTGTTTGAAAAGGAGTTATATCCAAAAATGGAAAGGCGTTATTTTAAAATAATAAATATATGTAGGATTGGACCAAGGCCATCTTTATTTATGAAATATTTAGATTTTAAAATTATAAATTATATTATAAATTAAAGTATTTTCTATATTCCTGCACATCCCGCAGAGAGTTGTTTGCATTTTGCATGCATATTAAGAGAAGTCAACACTCTACTTTTGAAAATCCAGGATATAGTCAGAACCAGCTTTGTGCTTTGCTAGCCACGTATTTAAAAATTCATGTCAAATTTGAAATATTTTTCTCTCCTCTTGGTAAAAAACAGGCAAAGTATTTGCAATGGTATAATAAGCAATTAGCCTTCAACCAAATTTCTGAAATCCATGCACCTTGGTAGAGGCGTCCGGCATCGGAGAAGGACTAAGTTGGTTTAACACTGAAAATATTTTACACATTTAAAAATCTTTTTTCCTGGAAATCTAATTATAATCAACCCCCAGGGTGGGCTAAGTAAGTCATGTATTGAAAAAAAGAGGCGTAATAACACCTTTTGGAAAGGCTTAATAACGCCTTTTGGAAAGGCGTAATAACGCCCCTTTTTCGCGTAATAATGCCTTTTGGAAAGGCGTAATAACGCCTTTTGGAAAGGCGTAATAACGCCTTTTAGAAAGGCGTAATAACGCTTTTTTTTGGAAAGGCGTAATAATGCCTTTTGGAAAGGCGTAATAACGCCTTTTTTCGAGTTATAACTCCTTTTGGAAAGGCGTAATTACGCCTTTATTTGCGTTATAACGCCTTTTCAAAAGGTGTTATTACGCCTTTTTTGCGTTATAACGCCTTTTGAAAAGGCGTTATAACGCCTTTTAATTTTTTTTTATCGTAGTTTGATCCTAATAAGCTTTCGTAGTTTGCCTTTATCTGTATCACAAAAAAGAGAGCTAAGTTATGTGTGTATCTTTCAGGTTTTGCTTTTTTATTCAATGATTTTGAAAAAAAAATATTTACAAAGAAATTGATAATTTGCTGAAGCAAGAATTTTCTTTAAAGGAAATTTTTTTAACCCAATAGAAAAAAATAAATTGTTTAGGCCAATAATAACAATGTATTGTTTGATTCCTGTCGACCACTCAAAATTATACGTTCCTTTTTTTTTTTTTTGGGGGGGGGGGTGTGCAGAGAAATACAAATTGTCTGAATCCTATTTAAAGTTAACGGTTTATCATTTCTCTAGACTAAAATACATTTAGATTGAAAATCTTGTAGCAGTAAAATTAATTTTAAATCTATCTAGCTGTATTTTATTAACAAAGAAAACATAAATGAATTTCTGACAAGTCCTCCCCCCCCCTCTTTTCTACAAAAAAAAAAAAATAAATAAATAAAAATAAAAAAAAATCATAAAATTAAAAAAAAAAACTATACCTCGGGAATGGGGGCGGGGTGGGGTTAAGCACTTATGAATGAACGACTTCTTTAAATATTTATAAATAACGCTTTTTAACGTTTTACAA